GTATTTAAATGGCATAAGCTTCACTGTTGTGGATCATTCATTGGGGTCCAGCAGAATGACGTGAGTTGGCTTACATATAATAAAATGAATATACTTAGGATGAAAGAAACTCTTGTCCAGCTGCTTTTCATGAAGCTGAAACAACGAAGCAGCCTGGTGCCTTGAATCAGACTTAGAATTGGTGGGTGCATCTTGATGTGCTGCTGCTAGAGCTAAATGTGACCATCTGATGCAGGGGAAAGTGCCAAATAGTTCTTCGCCTTATAAATGGAATATACTGTAATTCCAGACTGAGACTTTCTTCAACATTTATTGAGATATAATTCACATAGCATAAAACCCACCCATTTAATGTGTACAATTCATTAGTTTTAGTATATTCACAGAGTTGTACAACCATCACCAATAACTGATTCCAGAACATTTTCATCATCCTTAAAAATAATCCCTTATCTTTTAGCAGTCATTTCCCTCCCATTCCCCCTCTCCTCTCAGACCTGGGAACCACTAATCTACTTTCTGTCTCCATGGATTTGCCAATTCTGGACATTTCGTATAATGAAATCATATACCCAGTGTAGCATTACATAGTGATAAGTATAAAGTAAGGTAAAATATATAGGCCATAAATAAATGATTAAATAATAAGTGATTATACAAAATATGTAAGATCTTTTTTTGAAAACTCGCATTAATTTTTACTTGACTCTATTATTAACTCTGGAAGTAGATACCTTCAAAGACCAAGAGATTTTAGAGAGTGCTCTATAAGCTGGTTCCTAACATCCTTGAACTGAAAAACTATAATTATTTCTCTGTGTTAACTAAAATTTAGAGATAATTAGTTTCACCGAGCTGGTGTGGTTCAGTGGATTGAGCACCGTCCCATGGGCTGAGAGGTCCTGGTTGGATTCCTGGTCAGTGCACATGACCAGGTTCCAGGCTCAATCCCCATTAGGGTGTGTGTAGAAGGCGGCCATCAATGTTTCTCTCTCACATTGATGTTTCTATCACTCTCTCCCTTCCTCTCTCTCTAAAAAATCAATAAAAACATTTAAAAGAAAGAGAGATAAATAGTTTCTATGACCATTAAATGTTTTAGCGAGGGTATCATTTTAATTCTTTTGGAATAAATACAATACAGTCGGCCCTCGTTTATGGCAGTTAATCAGTTCCAGACTCTACTGTGATAAATGAATTTCCGTGAAGTAGAATTCTTTAATTATATTCAGTCGTCCCTCACCACTTCGTGTTTCGACGCGGCTTCACTCTATCACGGTGTTTTCAAATATAGTATAGTATAGTATTTGAAAACACCGCGATAGAGTGAAGCCGTGAAAGTCGAAATGCGAAGTGGCGAGGGACGGCTGTATCCTAGAACTTTAAAAATGACAATTATGTAAGTACATTTAAATGGTGGTTATGTAATTTTATTATATTGACTTTTCTGTTATTGTATATAAAGTGTGTGAGGGTTCAAATAAAAACTTTGAAAGTAAAAATTGAAATTATACAATATGTGGCTGTGATGGTCAGTTTTATGGTAGCTTTAGGATTTTTAAAAAATTTATTTATTGATTTGAGAGAGAGATCTATTTGCTGTTCCATTTATTTATACATTCATTGGTTGATTCTTATATGTGCCCTGACCGGGGATCGGCCTCAAAACCTTAGCATTTCGGGAACCAGCTGAGCTACATGGCCAGGCAGGAGTTTTTTTCTTAGTAAGTCTGAGTTCCTAAACATCCCACCCCCTCCCTGTTTGTTCCTTGTGCTCTGCCTTTCTTGTATTTATGTTCCTAGTTCGTGTTTTCGGAAGTGCTGTACATGTAGCTCTGGCTCTACCATGGTTTTGAATGATGTACAAATACTTATTTTAATAGTTGTTTTAAAATAGTTACATATTTTGATATGATTTGGGAAAAAATGTAACTAGCATTCTAACCAGTTGTTTCATAGGTATTATTACTTGAAGTAAACCTATAATATTAAGTCGTGGTGTTAGGTCTACATATTTTCTTAAAATTAATAATAATACAGGTGGTATACTAAAAGGAGAAAAATCAGGAAAGTGGTATGTGAATGGCTGAAGCTTGGTAAACACTGTGTTCAATTGTGCCCATTGACAATGTTGTTTTCCCTTTGGGTGCCTGTGTTCAGTAAAGAGTAGCTTTTCTGCTAGTCATAATCCAATTACCTATCTCTTGAAGTCACAGTTAGGAAGAAAGATGTCTATCCTGAAATCGTTAAAAAATGCTCATTGTCCTAATATCTAGATAACAGACCAATCCTATCTTAAATAATTAACACTGTCCTGGCCAGTGTGGTTCAAGTTGGTTGGAGTATTGTCCCATACACCAAAGGTGGCAGATTCAATTCCCCGTCAGGGTACATGCAGGAAGCAACTAATCAATGTTTTTTTCTCTCTCTTTCTTCTTTTCTCTAAATATTAATTAAAAAAAAAAAAGAGATTCTCTAAACAAAAGTAATAATTAAGTAAATAATTAACACTAATCTATATATTGGCATTTTTCTGTGGGAAACATTGTATATAAGCTTTGGTTTGGCAGGTGAATCTATGGACTGTATAGAGGGCAAGGACAGGAAAGTCTTCTTTTTTTCCTTAATCCTCACCCGAGGACATTTTTTCCATTTTTTGCTGAAATAGAGTGGGAGAGAGAGAGAGAAACATCAACGTGAAAGGGACACATCAAGTGGTTGCCACCCGCATGACCCAACCAGGGCCGGGGACAAACTGCAACCGAGGTACATGCCCTTAGAGGGAACTGAACCTGGGTCTTTCCGGACTGCAGGCCAACACTCTAACCGCTGAGCCAAACCAGCCAGGGCAGGACAGGAAAGTCTTAAGTCTTAGCAAGAAAAATCCACCCTTCCTCTCTTGGGGTTGAGTAAGTGTGTGCACCTCTGCTTATGAATCTATATATGTCTCATGCAACTTGATTCATACTGGAAGGTGGCCCTTCTATTATGAAAATGAGCTTCTTGTCTATGTTTGATGTTCTTGTAAACCAGGACAATTTTATATACTTAGTCAGGTAAGCAATACACTCCTCCCTTTACCTCTTCTTTTCTCCTTAAATGTATTGAGCCCCAATCTACTATGGAAAGAGTCTACAAATAAATTTACAAAGGTATGGATTTTTTTAAAGTGATCTCACCCTGGCCGGTTTGGCTTCGCGGTTAGAGTGTAGACCCAAGGACCGAAGGACTCTTGGGTTTGATTCCTCTCAAGGGCATGTGCCTCTGTTAAGGTTGGGTCTCTGACCCTGGTCAGGGTTGTGTGGGAGGCAACCAATTGATGTGTCTCTCTCGCATTGATACTTCTCTCCCTCTCGCCTCCTCCCCACTGTCTGAAAATAAATGGAAGCATATCCTCAGGTGAGGATTTAAAAATTCATTCATTAATTAAAAGCAGGTTCATTATGACTCAGCCAAGGAGACTGGGAAAGAACTCTGGATGCTCTCTGGGGATGTCCCTGTCAGGGATGTGTCAGTTCTCAGCATTGTTACCATGCAGGATTTTCAGGTTGGGTAGGGCCTGCTTCCTTGGCCATTCCTTTGTTGATAGACTGACTTAGCTGGAACTTCCAGCCTGTTTCAAGATGCCATGTATTTGGCAGCTGTATGGTAAGCATGGATCCTCTGGCTTTCCACCAGGAATTTCATACACATTTTGGGAATCACTTTTTTGGTTCCTGAGTAACTGAATTTGTTCTTAGAGTTAGTGTTTTGTTTTTTTAACTAGCACAGCAACAGGTTCAGTGGATAAGAATGTCATCTGCCTAATAAGACAAAAGAGGAAGGTCACTTTATTTTTTTATTTATTTTTTTATCCTCACCCGAGAACATTTTTCCATTTTTTGTTCAGGTAGAGTGGGAGGGAGAGAGAGGAACAGAGAGAGAGAGAGAAGCATCGATGTGAAAGGGACACCGACCAGGGCCGGGGACAAACTGCAACCTAGGTACGCACCCTTAGCGGGAACCAAACCCGGGTCTCTCAGGACCGCAGGCCGACGCTCTAACCGCTGAGCCAAGCCGGCCAGGGCAGAGGAAGGTCACTTTAAAAATCTTATTTCCTAGCCCATAAATTTAATGTGAGATGGTCCTAGAAATGAGTCATCTCAGTCTAAGTTATTAGCTCTGTTTACCATACTTTGATGATAGGTACTTATAAAATGGAAATGTTTTCCTTTTCATAGTTCAAGTTAACAATATTCTAATGTTAGTCATTTCCCGATGCAGTTACATAAAAAATGAAGCCCAGAGAAATACCATCTGTGCCACGGTAATGTTAGTACTTTTTGGGTGATCAGAGTAGAATCTCATGTTTCATGTTGTAAGCAAAATAATCTATGTAGCCATGAGTCCCTACTAGAAAATAGCTGGAGTAGGGTGCTCTGGAAAGAACATGGTTGTGAGTCGTCAGTTTTTCTGCTTGTTTTGAAAAGTTGGACTTTGAAATACTTAATTCTGAAGAAGGCTGATTTTTTTTTTTTTTACATTGATTGGTGAGGCCGATCTTTATTTAGTCTACTGATTCAAATGTTAATCTCTTCCAGAAACAGTGTCACAGATACACCCAGAAATTATGTCCTACCAGCTGGCTTTCTGGAAATCCCTAAGCTGTGTCAAGTTGACACATAAAATTAACCATTACAGTCCACTAGAGCATTGTTGCCTGAAACTGAGTCTCTCCTCTGAAAGGGGTCTCACAGGCTGTCATGGAGCCCAGCCAAAGATGCCTAGTAGTTCTATTTTTTATGAACCTTTACCTCCAGGAAGGCCAACAATCTGTTCTAAGTGGTGGGGGTTTTTTTAGCCCCCATTCCATGGGGTAATAGCCTGAAAATAGTGTTTTTTTCTGAATTTATTATTTATGCATTATTTGGGATGTTACAGAGAAACTCTGCACATAAAAAGTTATTTTTAAAGTTGAATTGTTTATAACTTTTACTCTTGTTTCTTTGCTTATTTTTTAGAAAAGATATAGTTTGGCAGTGGGTCCTCCCAAAAAAGACCCAAAAGTTAAGGGTGTCCAATCAGCAGCTGTACAAGCTTTTCTCAGAAGAAAAGAAGAGGAGCTCAGACGAAAAGGTACATTATCTATTCTCAGTTTTAAAGTCTTCTACCTTCACAACTAGTTTGTACTTAACCAGTGGATGTTTGTAATAGCATAATAGGATAATGGGTTTGTTGCACATGTGTATGAATCAGCTGTATTTATAGTGGTACATACGTTCTTAAGTTAATCATTTATGTAGATGTTTTCTTTTATTCGCTTTTTGGGCATAGTGATCATATTTTCTCTTTGGTCATAGTAATCCCAATAAGAACTCCATTCCTTGACCTTGGTTCTGAATCTGCTTCTAACCTGTTTTGTATTTTAATTTTTAAATTATTAAAAAGTGCTATCTAAATTATTAAAATAGAGGCAGTTTTTGAAACCAGTAAACTCAAGAAGTAATTTCACTTCTGCAGATGACAAGGAAACTGATTAAATAAATTTAAGTATTCATTGATTCATAACAACTGCTGAATGGGTACTACTGTTCCTTTAATTTGGCATATTTATTTGGTATGAACTATTTCCTATATTTAAAGCTAAATGCCAAGTTTCTCACTTGCTTAGTCATATAGATAAACCCATATGTGACCCACTCATTGTGGTAAGATGACTCAATTGATACTTGTTCAAATGAATTCCTCATTTGATTCCTAGATGTCTTCAAACTATATTGTTTCAAACTAAACACTGCTTATGTTTTGACCACCTGCTGATTTCAGATGAACATGCTGTTATCTTGAGACCTTGAAATATGTTCTTTTTTTCCCTTTTAGCCTTAGAGGAGAAAAGGAGAAAAGAAGAACTAGTGAAAAAGCGAATTGAGCTAAAGCATGACAAGAAAGCAAGAGCTATGGCCAAGAGGACAAAGGACAATTTCCATGGTTACAATGGGATTCCTGTTGAGGAGAAGTCAAAGAAGAGACAGACGATGGAAAGCCACACTAGTCAGGGAACAGACCAAGAGTATGAGATGGAGGAAGAGGATGAATTCTTAGAATACAATCAAGCAGCATCAGAGCAGGAGTATGAGGAAGAGCAAGAACCTCCCAAAGTTGAAAAAAAACCAAAGGTCCCCCTTAAAAGTGCCCCACCAGTCATGAACTTCACTGATCTACTCAGGCTGGCTGAGAAAAAGCAGTATGAACCAGTGGAAATCAAGGTAGTGAAGAAAACAGAAGAGCGACCTATGACTGCACAAGAACTTAGGGAGCGAGAATTTCTTGAACGAAAGCATAGGAAAAAGAAACCTGAGGCAGATGCAAGACTACCTCCAACCAAAAAGACACCCTCTCAGAAGGAAAGTGTGGGCACAAAACATAGCAAAGTTTCTGGGGACAAGCATCCTTCTTCCAAGGGTACTCCCCTTCCTCATGCTGAGAAGAAATCCAGAACCAGCACAGCTAGTGAGAAACACTTGGGTTTGTTTTCATCCAAATCCATGCCAGGACAGAGGACCAAAGTAGGATCTGGCATCTGCTCCCAGCCCTTGCTTCGTGAGGACCATGACAAGCCTGTTTTCAATGGGGCTGGAAAGACCCACTCGAGCACCTATTCACCTGGAGTCCCAAAGACTTCTGCTAAAGGGACTCAGAAATCTGCTGCTGAGCACAAAGCCAAAAAATCTCCCCCCCATCCTAGCCATTCCAGTCCTGGGCCCATGGTCACCACACATAATAAGACGAAGAGTCCAGGTGTTAGGCAGCCAGGCAGCAGCTCCAGTTCAGCTCCTGGGCGGCCCAGCATAGGAACTGCTCGACCTCCAGTCAGTTCTGGCCCTGTGCCCAGGCGTCTGAATGGCAGCTCCAGCTCAGGACCTGAGCGATCAGTCAGTGGGACCAAGAGGCCAGCCAGTGACTTAAATCCTGGACGGACAGTCAGCGGTACAGGTGGCCCTGGAAGACCCATCAGTGGCTCAGGTGGTTCTGGGAGATCAGTGGGCAGTTCTGGTGGCCCTGGGAGGCCTGTGAACAGTCCGCATGACCTTCGGCGATCAGTGAGTGGCTCATTGCCCCCGGGGCGGTCACTCAGTGGCCCTGGGCGATCAGTAAGTGGTTCAGTTCCATCTGGACGGACTGTTAGTAGTTCAGGCCCTGGAAGACCAGTGAGCAGCTTAGGACCTGAGCGAATAATTAATAGCTCGGGTCCACCCCTGAAGCCTAGGTGCACTGTTGTCTCAGAAACAATTTCTTCCAAGAATATCATTAGCCGGTCCAGCAATGGACAGATGAATGGAATGAAGCCTTCCTTATCTGGCTACAGAACTACCCAAGGTAAAATTGCCCCTTGCTTTAAGAGTGGATCTATTTGTCACTAGGAAATTTGAAAGCACACTTTTAAAAATATAACCAGAGACCCACTGATCCTTCTGTGTGCCCTTTTAAGTATTCTTATATTGATAGAACCCTGATGTTTTGTCTGTCCTGTGCCTGAGAGTTTCTTTAGTGATCATAGCTTGGAAAAGTCTTTAGAAAGAGACTTATCTAGTTTCCTCTGTGCTTATCCCTGTAATGTCTCCAGGTTTAATAACCTTAGCTGTGTGATTTATAAGACAGTGAGTGTATATGCCTTAAATTGTTCTATGAATGAATTCACCTTTTCATGAAGACTAGAGAGAGCTGTCTTCGGGGATTAGAGTATATTTATAAGCTTGAAGCCTTTTCTTGCATTATTTATTCATCATGTTATATATCATTTAAGTATTATTTATTCATATATGTTAAGTATCCAGTATGTGCCACGAACTCTTTTATTTTTATTTATTTTTTTAATATGTTTTTATTGATTTTTTTTTTTTTTTTTAGAGAGAGAAGAAGGGAGAGAGAGATAAAAACATCAGTGTGAAGGAGAAACTTCAATCAGCTGCCTCCTGCATGTCCCCCACTGGGGATGGAGCCCACAACCCAGGCATGTGCCCTGACCAGGAATCAAAACGGGACCTCTCAGTCGATGGGGCAATGCTCAATCCACTGAGCTACACTGGCCGGGCATTTTTTATTTTTTATTTATTTTTTTAACTTTTCACACACCCAGGTTGCAGGCTCGATCCCCAGTAGGGAGCATGCAGGAGGCAGGCAATCAATGTTTCTCTCTCCCATCGATATTTCTGTCTGTCTCTCCCTCCCACTCTGTCTAAAAAATCAATAAACACATTTTAAAAAAAAATAAATACAACATTGCCAATCTTTTAAGTCCAGAAGAATGGGAACTACTGAGCTAGAAAAGGTAACACAATTTTAGTAAGTCCTGGGATATAAAGGAGTTCTGTTCCTTGTGGATTCCATAAAATAGCAGGGATGATATAGGAACGACTCCGTGCTGTGCACTAGCTTGCTGACTCTGGTTTTTGAGAAGACCATCTTAATGAGTTCTCAAAATCTCAGTTTACATAGAACTTTGTTTGGACTGTTTTACATTTTTTTGGAGGGGTATACTATTTTAAGTTGTAATGCTCTCATAAATAATGGCTTTTCTATTCTTAGGTCCTCAAAGGCTTCCCTTCCCTAGTGGTTACAAAAGGCAGCGAGAATATGAAGAGGAAGATGATGACTATGACTCTGAAATGGAGGATTTTATTGAAGATGAAGGAGAATCTCAGGAAGAAATATCCAAGCACATTCGTGAAATTTTTGGCTACGACCGAAAAAAGTAAGGCTAAAGAAGTTTTAGATACACTTTTTATTTTGAATAACTCATGCTTAGGGGAAAACTAAACATTACTAGTAGGGGCATTGCATACAATTCTTTTTTGTTAATCCTCACCTGGGGATATTTTTCCATTAATTTTTAGATAGAGTGGAAGAGAGGGAGGGAGGGGAGAGAGAGAAAAACATTGATGTGAGAGATACATCAATTTGTTGCCTCTCACACGACCCCTTTGGTCTGCAGGCTGACACTCTAACTGCTGAGCCAAACTGCCAGGGCTGACTACAATTATTAATTAGGAATTTTTGCATGATTTAGATTTACTCCTTTGGCATTTAATATTTAAGAATTAACTCAGACCCTGGCCTAAGGGTCTCAGGTTCAATTCTGGGTCAAGGGCATGTACCTGGGTTGCAGGTTCCATCCCTGGTTCTGGTCAGGGTCGAGTGGGAGGCAATCAATCAATGTCTCTCCCCCCCGTCCCCCTCCACTATATCTAAAAATCAGTGGAAAAATATCCTTGGGTGAGGATTTTTTTTTTTTTTAAATTTTAACTCAAAATTATCTGTATAGTTCTTTGCATGAGGGCCAAAACTTATCTCCTTTTAAACAGTTGTCTTTATAAGGTGTGCATTTAATGTGAGTGAAGTAGCGTGGTATAGTAGAAGTAGATTGGCTTTGAAATCAGAACACCATCCACAGAGCTATGTTGAAAGCTGGTCTGATCTGACACCTGCTTTTCTTTGGTGTAAAAAACTTTGCTACTCAAAAGTGTGGTCCCTGGACAGCAGTATGGAACTAACAACACTGACAGCACCTGGGAGCTTGTTAGAAATTCAGGTTCTCAGGCTTCACTTCAGAACTATGGAATCCGAGTCAGCTTTGTAAGGTTCCCAAGTGCTATGCACATTAAAGTTTGAGAAGCATTGCTAGAGGAAAGATCAGGGTTTGGATGTAAGTTCCACCACTTGCTACCTAGGCAAACTTGAGCAAATTATTTTACATAAAATGACATTTGGAAGAATTAAATGAGGTAGTATATAGAACAGAAAGGCTAGATCATAGTGCCTATTCATCAACAATTGCTATGTCCTTCGAAGCCACGGATGTGAAAAATTAGAATGCAATCTAAGAAAAGGTCTGTTATTTATTTATCTATTTTTAATTAGAGAAACATCAATTTGTTGTTCCACTTGTTCATGCATTCATTGGTGGTTCTTTTATGTTTCCTGACCAGGTATTGGACCTGCAACCTTTGTCTATCAGGACAGCTCTCTAACCAACTGAGCTACCTGACCAGGACGTTTTGTTTTTAAAGACATTTAATTGAAAGAACTGGATTAAAAATCAGATCTAAAAATCAAATTTGTGTCATGTCATTAGCTAGCTATATGTTCTTGGTCAAGCTGTTAACCTATGAGCTTCAGTCTCTTTTAAAAGTCCTTCCCTACCTCATGATGGTCATGAAGTTAAATGAAATTTATACAAAATAATTGTCACATATATTGTGCTTTCAGGATTTTAATATAAACTGTCATGTAAGTAGAGGTGAGTTGAGTAAGCATTGTTGGATTGGTACCTTCATCAGCATTAGGTTCAGGAATGGTTGCCTTCTGGGAGTAATAAGGGCTCCTTTAATTTGTCTTTACTTCAGAAGTCTACCTCTGCCCATCCTCTGTCTCCCTACTCCCTGCCAAGCAAGGAAATGCTAAGTATGTTTTGATTTAGTTATAAAGATGTTGATTTTAGAAACTTAAAAAAAAAAAAATCCCATTTATCATTGCAGCAAAAAAATTAAGATACCTAGGAATAAACTTAACCAAAGAAATAAAGGACCTATTTTCAGAAAACTACAGGACATTTAAAAAAGAAATAGAGGAAGATATAAAAAAGTGGAAGCACATACCTTGTTCATAGATTAGAAGAATTAACATCATTAAAATGTCCATATTACCCAAAACAATCTATAGATTCAATGCAATCCCCATCAAAATGCCAACGACATATTTCACAGAACTAAAACAAATATTTCAAAAGTTCATATGAAACCAAAAAAGACCCTGAATAGCCACAGCAATCTTGAAAAAGAAGGACAAAGTGAGTGGGATCACAATACCGGATATCAAGTTATACTACAAAGCTACTGTCATCAAAACAGCCTGGTACTGGCACAAGAACAGGCATATAGACCAGTGGAACAGAACAGAGAACCCAGAAATTGACCCAAGACATGATGCTCAATTAATATTTGACAAAGGTGGCAAGCGCATACAGTGGAGTCAAGACAGCCTCTTTAATAAATGGTGTTGGGAAAACTGGACAGCTACATGCAAAAAAAAAAAAAAAAAAAAAAAAAGAAACTAGACCATCAACTTACACTGTACACAGGAATAAATTCAAAATGGATAAAAGACTTAAATGTGACCCGTGAATCCATAAAAATCCTAGAAGAAAATGTGGCAACAAAATTTCAGACATCATACATAGCAGAATTTTCACTGATACATCACCTAAGGCAACAGAAACAAAGGAGAAAATGAACACATGGGTCTACATCAAACTAAAAATCTTATGCACAGCAAAATAAACAATCATCAAAATTAAAAGGTAACCCTCTATATGGGAGAGCATAATTGTCAGTGATGCATCAGATAAGGGGTTAATTTCCAAAATATATAGAATACTCAGACAACTCAACAAAAGGAAGACAAAGAACTCAATTAGAAAATGGGCAGAGGAGGCTCAGCGGTTAGAGCATCAGCCTGCGGTCCTGAGAGACCCAGGTTCGGTTCCTGCTAAGGGCACGTACCTCGGTTGCAGTTTGTCCCCAGCCATGGTGGGTCGTGCAGGTGGCAGCCGCTCGGTGTGTTCCTTTCACATCGATGTTTCTCTCTCTCTCTGTTCCTCTCTCTCCCTCCCACTCTACCTGAACGAAAAATGGAAAAATGTCCTCTCCTCGGGTGAGGATAAAAAAAAAAGAAAGAAAATGGGCAGAGGAGCTGAATAGACACCTCTCCAAACAGGACATACAAATGGCCAAAAGACATATGAAGGGATGCTCAACATCACTAATCATCAGAGAGATGCAAATTAAAACAACAATGAGGTTCACCTCATACCTCAGAGTAGCCGCCATCAACAAATGATCAAACAAGTGTTGGCAAGGGTGTGGAGAAAGGGGGACTCTACTACACTGCTGGTGGGAATGCAGACTGGTGCAGCCACTATGGAAAACACTATGGTGCTACCTCAAAAAATTAAAAATTGAGTCCTGGTCGGTTTGGCTCAGTGGTTGGAGCATCGGCCTGTGGACCAGAGAGTCCTTGGTTCAGTTCCCGCTAGGGGCACGTAGAAAAAAAATTTAAAAATTGAACTGCCATTTGACGCAGTGATCCCACTTCTAGGAATATATCCTAAGAAGCCTGAAGCACCAATCAGAATGTATGTATCCCCATGTTCATAGCAGCACTATTTACAATAGCTAAGATCTGGAAACAGCCCAAGTGGATAAAAAAGCTGTGGTACATATACACAATGGAGTACTATGCAGCTGTAAGAAAGAAAGATCTCTTATCCTTTGAAATGACATGGAGGAACCTGGAGAGTATTATCCTAAGTGAAACAAGCCAAGCAGAGAAAGACAAATATCACATGATCTCACATACTTGTGGAATATAATGAACATAACAGTGTGAGGAAGAGGGTAGACCCAGAGACGTGGAAGTGGGGTACGGACTGACAATCCCCAGAAGGAGGGGGTAGGGAGGAGGGAAGAGATAAAACAGAACTTATATGCATGTACACATAACCAATAGACATGGAAAACAAAGCTGGGGACGGAGTGGGGAGGATGGGGAGGAGGGTGTCAATGGGGAAAAAGGAGAATCATCTGTAACAAAAATAAATATAAAAATAAACATCTTTTTTTAAAGCTGAAAAAAAAAGATGTTGATTTTAAAAAGCAGGATTTATGTCCTTTAGAAAATTGAATTTTTATTTTTTTAAACAATTTTGATTTCCTCTTTCCAGATACAAAGATGAAAGTGATTATGCCTTACGTTACATGGAGAGTAGTTGGAAAGAGCAGCAGAAGGAAGAAGCAAAGAGGTAAGCACAGAACTTCCACACATTTGTGTTGACACGTCCTAAAATCTCTTTTTAGTTGCTGCTTCAGTTGCACCACTGGGAGCTGGGGGTCTGGACCACACAACTCTGAATTCCAATCATGCTTACTTGCTGTGGGGCTTTATTTATTTGTTTTAAATATGTTTTTATTCATCTTTTTTTTTTTAATTCTCACCCGAGGACATTTTTGCATTTATATTCAGACAGAGTGGGAAGGAGGGGGGGGAGGGGGAGAGAAACATCGATGTGAGAGAGACACACATTGAGTAGTTGCCACCCGCACAACCCCAACTGAGGCCGGGGACAAACCACAACCGAGGCATGCGCCCCTAGCAGGAACCGAACCCAGGACTCTCTGGTCCACGGGCTGACACTCTTAACCGCTGAGCGAAGCCAGCCAGGGCTGTTTTTGTTAATTTTTTTGAAGAGAGAAACATTGATGTGAGAGACACATCCATTAGCTGCCTCCTGCCTCACCTACTAGGGATGGAGCCCGCAACCCGGGCATGTGCCCTTGACTAGGAATCAAACCAGGACCTCTCAGTCCATGGGACTGATGCTCAATCCACTGAGCCACACCCATCGTGCTGTGGAGTTTTAGACAAATTCCTTAGCCTTTCTAAATCTTGTTTTCTGATTGAGGTATTGTGCGGATTAAGATAATGTGGACAAATTGCCTAGTGCAGTGCCTCATCCATGTAGGCACACAGTAACTGCTAGAGGCCACCTCTGATCCTGTTATCGCATGTTCTTGTTCTTGTTCTCCATACTAATTCCCTTTCCACATCAGTCATATCTCGGTCTTGCTACCCTGTGCCACTGCTGGCCTTAGGGACCTGAGGAGAGATATTAAATTCCCTCTGTCTGATTTCCTGTTTGGCTACCTGATAGCAAACTAATGATAACTACTTGGGTGGAGGTATCAAGTGGTTACTTTGTTTATAGCATTATTCAACTCAGTCTCAACCAGATTATTAAGCCTTTTTCTCCCTCTTGTCCTCCCTCTCCTGTAACTAGATATCAAACTAAAGTGTTGGGAAGGGACAAGCATATGCTATTTTATTTTTGTATAAATGTTTCCTTTTATTTTTAAGATAATTCTATTTTATTACCTTAAAAGGAATACTGAAGCATTTTATGTTGCAGTTGTATATGAGGTCTTTTTTTCCCCACTATTATTTGAGGCAATGGCAATGGCTCCTGGTAAAAAATATTTCTGCTGCCCTGGCTGGTTTGGCTCAGCGGTTAGAGCATCGGCCCGTGGACCAGTGAGTCACAGGTTCTATTCCGGTCAAGGGCACGTACCTCGGTTGCAATTTGTGCCCGGCCTTGGTTGGGGTTGTGTGGGAGGCAGCCACATGATGTGTCCCTTTCACGTCGATGTTTCTCTTTCTCTCTTCCTCTCTCTTCCTCTCTCTCTCTCCCACTCTATCTGAATAAAAAATCGAAAAATGTCCTTGGGTGAGGATAAAAAAAATACATATTTCTGCTAATCTATTTTCAGTGGTAAAGCTTTGTGGCATTTTGAGGGCATCATACATTCCATCTGAGCTCTCAGTGGAAATTTCATTCTTGCTTTGTAAAGAAAGTAGTAATTTGCCCTGGCCAGTTTGGCTCAGAGGTTAGAGCAGCGACCCGAGGACGAGAGTCTCAGGTTCAGCTCCTAGTCAAGGGTATGTACTGGGTTGCAGGTTCGATTCCTAGCCCCAGTCGGGTGGTGCAGGAGGCAACCATTGATGTGTTTCACTCACATCGATGTCCTCCGTCCTCCCCCCTCCCCCCAACAAAATAATAATTTCATGTGTATTGACAAATACCTATTTTCTTTTTTTTGGACAGTTTAAGACTAGGTATGCAAGAAGACTTAGAGGAAATGAGACGCGAGGAAGAAGAAATGAAATGCCGAAAGGTCAAGAAGCTGAAAAGGCGTTAGCTGCTGCTTTTATTTTTGTGAAATTCTGGAGACACTCTACTGCAAGGAAGTCCTGCCTTCAGACTGAAGAAGCCCCTTTATTGTTTTAGATTTATACTTGGGTCCTCAAGGACAAGGAATGTGTACTGTGTATTTTGAGCATAAAGTATTTCCAAATACTTTCCAGGGTGAAATCTGTAATGCAGATGACATAATGCCCAGTGAGTGCTCTTATGAAGTTAACGGTTCAGAGGTGCCAGCCTTGATCCTGATGAGCTATGCACTCTAATGTGGGGCCACTCAACAGTCAGCCAATCTTCTATTGTTCCTTTGCTATTTTATTTTTTGTTGTTTTTTGTTTTGTTTTGTTTTGTTTTGTTAATCCTCACCTGAGAATATTTTTCCATTGATTTATTTTAGAGTGGAAGGGAGGGAGGGAAGAGAGAATGAAAAACATTGATGAGAGAGAGACACATAGATTGGTTGTCTCCTGCACTGACTGGGGCCAGAGATCAAACCTTGACCCTTTCATTCACGGGCTGATGCTCTAAACACTGAGCCAAACCAGCCAGGGCTCCTTTGCTATTTTAAAAAGGAGAAAAGATTGCCTCTTGACTTCCATAATTTTGTTGATATGTGAGTAGGGTAATGGCCAGCTCCCAATCAAACTTATTTTGTCTTTTTATGAGGAACCTGGCCCTTCCATGAATGTTGCCAGCAATAAAGTGACTGGTCCTAATCTATATGTTTGAATTGAGGACTTGAAAATATAGAGTAGGCTTTATGATTACCATATGGATGCCATTTCTCTGACTTTGAAGTAAAAAGTAGAATAAATTATATTGTATTCTGTATTCATGGATTGGATGCTGAGCATTCTTATTCGCTGATTTAGGTGATTAGGCGGTTAACAAAAAAAATTTCAAGTTAAAATACAGGTTTTACCATGTGTGAGAATACTCTTTTCCAAGTTTTCCTTTCAGATTTATTGTAAAATAGACAATGTCACTGTGTTAATTTTTATATAAAATTTCAATTTTATATTGAAGAAAAATATTTTATTCCAACATTAGGGTTGGAAGAGTAATAGTTTAAAAAATAAGCCAGTGACATGAGATTCCCTACCCCTTCTCCATCCCCCACCCCCATTAGAAAGATATTTTGGAATCCAAGGTGCCCTTGTACCTCTTGATGTTAGTGACTTTACATTTTTATCTAAAAATTCTTTAGCAATTAATGGCAAAAACCAAAAACTAAATTCATATGTATCAAGAGCACCACCTTCTCTTTTTGCCCATATTGCACTTTTATTTCAAACTATGCACACTGTGAAGAGATTTCTTCCCCAGGTAGAAGAGGCTGTTCCCTGTTACTGGTGGTATACCGGGCAATGGAACTTGCTTCATTCTCACCTTTCAAGTCCTGTCTACAGACTTGCTATCTCTTAAGCCTCAAATCCAAGCCATTCCAATCAGGCTGAGTTAGGTTGTGGCTGGAGAGAAGCCAAGTCTCAAGGAAAGTCAGCAACAGAAAATGAGGTATGATGTTAGAGGCCTTTGTCCTTAATTCTAAATGTGGAGGATTGGGACAGTGGGACATAAGTTTATAGAACAGTTCTACAACAAATACTGTGGCTACTTGAAGCCATTATGGTGCAGATTAAGTAGGAAAGGTTATTCTACAAAGAATCCTTACTCTTCAATAGGTCCAAAACTTGTTTTTGTGTTTTCCTTTTTGTCCATAAAGCTTTCTTTATTCAAATTTGGCTTTATAGATGATCATTATTAGCCTTCCTTAATGAGTTGACCATGAGACCTAGTCCCTTAACTCTCTATGAATTGAATTTCAAACTTTGAAAGTGCAAGGATTTCATTTTGAAGTTGAATCCAATGAAAGGTGTCTTCATCACTACGAATAACACCCTTTCTAATGCTCCACATAGACTATAACTGACTCTCACCCATCTCAGATACCTTCAGTGAAAATAAGGGTAGTGTGATATTCCATGTAATAAAACAGTTTTGGAACATTATTTCCTTTGCTGTTACATGCACACACACACACCCCCCTCCCTTGAAATGTTTTCTTCTTGGATAAGTTTTTTTCAATATTCATGTTTTGAAATCAGCAATTACAATCAAATGCTTGTCACAAGTGAAAGATTGTTGGTGGCTTAAAGTTTACTAGCACTTTACTCAATGATATTGTGCAGTTATTTGTACAGAAAGGCACATTGTGCTAGATAAAAGTTCCAGAACTTGGTAAGAAGAGTCAGGCCATGTCCTTAAGTGTCTATCACTGAGTGCATTTCTTCTATAATATAAATGTTGGTTTTAGTATTCTTCAACATCAGCATTATAAAAGGGCACTTCTGTAGCTCATTAAAAAGTTCTAAGTCTTTAAATTGATCTTGGCCTTCTTTCCAAATCCTGTCTTCCATTTTATTCTTCAGTTCCTGACCACTCTTACAAAAAGCTCACAGACCTTTGAATAAACTGGAATGGGCTGTTATTTTATTGAGGTTTACAAATTAAGTGCTTGATTTTAAATGTATCCTCCGTTTTGATTTTCAAATTAATTCAATATTTGAAGATGTGCCTTTTATTGGGTAATGTTAATTCACGAATGTAGTAATGTTATTTCATGATTGTAATAATGTTACATGATCCATGGGTGTGGTATTCCCTCACAGATGATGTGCAAGGAATTTTCATAAAACTCATATGCCTCTGATTGCACAGTCCCAGCAAGGGCACTTTCTTTTAAGGCTACTTTCAGGACTTGTCTTTGTATTTTCACTAAACTACAAATGCAGTTATGTCCATTTGGAGGCCAGGGTACCACATGTCACAGGCAGCCTTACATGTGTGCCATGAAAAGGTTCAAAGACTGTTAGCAAAAAAGAAAGTCTGTGGGAACTCAAAATTTCATTTTTTAATGTAATCCCCAAGATTTTCTCCAAGAAATAAATTACTGTTTTGTATTTTATATCTTAAAAGCAGCTATTAGTACATTTCTGAGATATAGCAGGAGACCAAAACATGTTTGGAAAGAGAATAAATATATGAAGAGAGACTGGTTGGTTTATTTTAATGTGCTGAATATACTAGACTACTATTTATTTTGTGAGTGGACGTGATGACATAAATATTCAGGTGTTTAGTGTATGATTAAGAATGGAATATAGATTTCTTTGGAGTTATTAAATCCCATGTCTTTTACAAAATGGACAAATCAAGTTGAGAAACATTTACATAGCTTAGCTTGTTAATCTGGTGCTGTTGACCTGCAAGAGAATCTACTTTTGCATATACAGGTGAAAGTTTTGCAATTTATGTATAAAATAAATTGTAGGCATTAAAAATATTTTATTGATATTTACCTGGTTTGCACTTATTTACCAAAATTCGTATTCTTATTTCATAACATTTTCCAGCTAGAAACCCCAGTAGACTCATCAGACTTCAGAGATAGGGTTTGCCTCCTTACACACACACCTGTTCATTCTCCCTTACACATTTACATCTGCTCAGACCCTACCACTGACACTTCATCTCCCCCACCACCTTACAGAAGACACCCAAGTAAGGAGAACTGTTAGGAGTTATACTCTGAAGTGGAGGGAAGAAGAACTGGGTAAATAACTTCTTATTAAGAAAAGCAGGCTCTGCCCTGGCCGGTTTGGCTCAGCGGTTAGAGCATCGGCCTGCGGTCCTGAGAGACCCGGGTTCGGTTCCCGCTAAGGGCACATACCTCGGTTGCAGTTTGTCCCCGGCCCTGGTCGGTTGTGCGGGTGGCAGCCACTCGTTGTGTTCCTTTCGCATCGATGTTTCTCTCTCTCTCTCTCTCTCTCTCTCTCTGTTCCTCTCTCTCCCTCCCACTCTACCTGAACAAAAAATGGAAAAATGTCCTCCAGTGAGGATAAAGAAAAAAAAAAAAGAAAGAAAAGCAGGCTCTGACCCCCTGTAATAAAAAGAGCCTGAGATGGCTAAGAAGAGTCCTTAGGAATATATATATGAGGCAAGTGGGCACAGCCATCCAGCCAGAGAATGCAGGCACTTTATGAAATGTGTTGAGACTAGGTCATAAGTACAAGAGATGATAGTATCCTAGGGTGAGAAATTACATTTTGCTTATGGATTTTGAATTCATACTTCTTTCCATGAAAGATAAAAGATAAATCATTCAGTGCACAGAGCCTCTTAGAAATAGTTTAACAAACCTGTACCAAGTAGTCAACAAAATGTGTACATAACCAAAAGATCTCTGGTATGGGTCTTCTGGACAATGGAACTCTTATCAGTCATCCCCAAGCAGCCACAGAATGAGAACAATTTATTTTTAAACTGCATTTACTCCCAGTTAGATTTGTCCCTCCCTCCGGTCCCCCTTTAGGGTCAGAAAGCTCCAAACCACTAGAGGGCTTATTATGAATAACCTAGGGTTCAGACACCCAGCTTTATTGCAGCTATAGATCTTATACTTAGGTTCCATCCTTGGTCTCATAAACTAAACTGCATCATAAAGAACTAAGCACTTAGCTTTTGTTTTTACACGTTGCCTTGTATTAGCAGTCAGTGCAAAAAAATTCATCAGGCAATTTCTTTGGCTATACAGTTAAGGGAGACATTTGAACCAAAAGGCAGCCAAAATCTTACATATCCCAATCTCTTGTTTGGCCCTTTTCCTTGTCACATAAGAGCATAACAAGGTGAAGACCTGGATCTTAACCTGCACTGCAACTCAGAGCTGTTTGGTTTGGTAAGGTACTCAAGACTCTCAATTTCACTTTTGCCATTTTGTAAAATAAGGCTACTACTCGGGTTATTGTAAGGATTAAAATAATATAAAATTAAGTATCTAGCACCCAATATAAAAATCAATTCCTTTCCCCCACACGGTGTAAGCTTTGGGTATAAAATAGCTGTGGAAAGGCCACAGAGAAATATGCCCAAAGAATAGGCTTAAGGTTGCTGCAATCTCTCACCCTTTAACATTTTTTCAACCCTGGACCCAGGAGAAAGACATTACTTGGGAAACAGGTCTAATGAGAATGTCTATCCTTAAAGATACAGAATAAAGGACAAATTTAACTGAGTATCTTAGTCTTAATACAAGTCTTAGGGAGTAGGAAATGGGACCCAATCACTCTCATCCACCCCTACTACCTCCCCACCCTCCATCTCTCTGTTTCCAGCTAACTAAATACCAAATCTTAATCTTTTCAAAAAATGCGGTAATTTTTTACATAAAATGTGACAAAAATAATGTGCAATTACTTTATATGAAACCAACAACAGGAACTGTACAGCCGGTCAGGTGGGCTTCAGAGTTGCATTGCTTCACCAGGATCATCTGTGCTTGTTTCCAGTGGGGTCTGAAGAGAAAAAAGTATGTCAAGTGGGTCAATGCTTAGTGTGGGCTGAGGTCATTGCCCTCCTTGCCAAGGGTAGACAGAGGTAGCTGTGTCCAATTCTGTCACCCAATGGCTCTGATCTCAGTTGCCAGAGGGGCTTAGTAGTATGAGAGCTGACAAGAGGCAGAGAAAGGACAAATATCCAAGGTCCAACAGGAGGAGAAATGATAGAGACATGTGCTACCAGAACCATTATGGACCAGTGTTTACTTGAGGGACAGTTAAGTGTGGGGTTGTTCATGTAGGCTGATCTGAGAAATGGTATTGAAGACTGAGAATACAAAATATCCCATGAGAACAAGACTAGGTTATCCATGTCAGGCAGCTTTGACCCTGCACCTGAGAAATCTTTACATGTCCTGTTTACTTGAAAGAAACTGAAAAAGAATAGAGGCTCTTAAGAAAATATGTATGAAAGAGCACACAAAAGAGGGACCTCTCCCAACTGTAAGTAGAAAGTAAATAATAATAGTTGTAAGCTACATAACTTTTTTTAATAAAGAAAAAGGTATTTGTTTCTACAGTTACTAGAGTTGGATTTTGATGCTTAGTTCCTTTATCTAGGGGAATACATTTCAAGGTAGGAATAGAGAACAAAGTTGAAGGCACACTTACCCCTCCTGGGGGATACTTATATCCCTTCCACATTGTTCCTGCAATGAGAAGCATCCATAAGACAACAATCATTGCAGGCTTCTGGCTCAGTTGGTGGTGTGTGCAGGGGGCAAGTGAGTGGTTCTGAAAGGTGTGTTCTATTCCCCGAGTCCTGGGAACTGGGCTGTCTTCATTCAAGGCCTGATGGTGAATGGCCCAGGCATGATAGCTCCTGGCTGAGGAGCTCTGGGGTCTAGTCTAAACTGAAATGGCTTGCCATGGCCATTTTGGGAGTCAAGGCTCAGACACCAATTATGACATCAGCTTCTGTGACCTTGGAGACCAGGCAGAGTGAGTAGCTATGGGATGGTTGGCCAGGATGCCAGATGTGTTGCGGCTAAAGAACCCTTATCAGAAGGGCCCTGTTCTCTGGCAACTCTATGTAGTTGGTATCTAGCTGGCATCAGATCTTTATTAACTCATCACTTGCCAATATTTTGACTATTGACTTTATGCAGTCAAATGCAAAAAAATAAAAATCTCTATGTAAAACACAAAAAATACTTTGGATTAACTGGAAGGATCAAGTGGCTAGGTATGCTATGAGCAATTACTTTATATACGATTCTTAGGCTATTCAAAGAAAAAAAAAAGTTTTTTAAATTGTTATTTACTGATTTTTAGAGAGGAAGGGAGAGAGAAAAACATCAATTTGTTGTTCCACTTATTTACGCATTAATTGGTTGATTCTTTTTTTTCTTTCTTTTTTTTTTGTTCAGGTAGAGTGGGAGGGAGAGAGAGGAACAGAGAGAGAGAGAGAACCATCGATGTGAAAGGAACACATCAAGTGGCTGCCACCCGCACAACCGACCAGGGCCGGGGACAAACTGCAACCAAAGTACGCGCCCTTAGCGGGAACCGAACCCAGGTCTCTCAGGACCGCAGGCCGACGCTCTAACCGCTGAACCAAACCGGCCAGGGCAATTGGTTGATTCTTATATGTGCTCTGACTGCGGACTGAACCCACAGTCTTGGTATATTATCAGGTACCTTTAACCAACTGAGCTACCTGGTCAGGGTGAAAAATCTTGAATTTTGTGAAATAGCACAGTTAAACCTTCATGCGAGGTCAGCCTCCTCATGACCTCCTTCAGAAGGGAAGAGGGAAGATGGGCTGTTATGTTCACTTTACAGCTGGAGAAACTGAGGCACAGGATAGTTTTAGTGGTTTGGTCAGGAACACAGTGTAGCAATGGCTTAGCTCAACAAGTGCCCAGGACCTTCATCCATATCCCCATCCCCACAGTGGTCTGACTGTGCTGTGCCAATACTCTCATAAGAATTCTGGGGCAGATGGAGAGGGAAAAAAGCACCACCATCATGCCTTGCTCTTAGCATATCTGGGGCTGAGACGTGATACCCCTGCCTTCCAGAGTAGCTTCCCAGAAAACCTGCTCCTGTAATCAGCACATTACTAAAACTCAGAGTTAAGTTTCTTTAACTATGGGAACGTCTTTGAAAAAACGGGTCTGAATGAAATGAGGTAGGGTATGAGAAAGATGGGGGATGGTTTGCTAAAAGGACACTGGTATAGGCAGCCTGGTCTAGTAGAATGAGTGTGAGCGGCTATTAAGTCTAGAGAGCTATGCTTACATCCCAGCTTCATAAACAAGTTGGTCTGTGTGATCTTGGGTAAAGAGCTGAGGTCGATGCCACAAGTAGTTGACTGGCTCATGATTTTGCTTAGTCTGTTTTTTTTTATCCTCACCCAAGGACATTTTTCCATTTTTTGTTCAGATAGAGTGGGAGGGAGAGAAAGAGAGAGAGAAACATCAACATGAAAGGGACACATCAAGTGGTTGCCACCCGCACTACCCAACCAGGGCCGGGGACAAACTGCAACCGAGGTACAGTGCCCTTAGCTGGAACCGATCTCTCTGGACCACAGGCCGACGCTCTAACCGCTGAGCCAAACCGGCCAGGGCTGCTTAGGTTTTAAGTTGGCATTTATTAAATGCTAATTGTCAATATTTGCATTAAATGCTTTTCATGAATTCCTAAATATAATCCTCACAAAAATAATAAGATCCTGAGATATCTCCATGAAACTGAACTTCACAGAGATTAAACTTTCCCAAGTCACATAGCTAGTAAGTTGCAAAGTTAGGACTTGAACCCAAATTCACCTTAACTCCAATTTCAGGATCTGCTAAAAAGGGCATTAAAAATGCTGGCCCTGCCCTGGCTGGTTTGGCTCAGCGGTTGGAGCATCGGCCTGCGGACCAGAGAGTCCCGGGTTCGGTTCCCGCTAGGGGTGCATACCAAAAAAGAAAAAAAAAAATGCTGTCCCAGCCCTGGCCACTTTGGCTCAGTGGTTAGAGTGTCGGCCCACGGACCAAACAGCCTCAGGTTCAATTCCAGTCAAGGGGCATGTACCTCAGTTGCAGTTTGATCCCTGGCCCTGGTTGGGGTTGTGTAGGAGGCAACCAATTAGTTGATGTGTCTCTCTGGCATCCATGTTTCTCTCTCCCTCCCTCCCTCTCTCCCTCTCACTCTATCTGAAAATCAGTGGAAAAATATGTCAAGTGAGAATTAAAAAAAAAATGCTAACCCAATTTATTATAGAGTTTGTGAGGAGGAAGTAAGTTAATAGATGGGAACAGTCTTTGAAAAGAATACCTTTCTTTTCAAAATAGACCAGCACTGGTGGTGAGGGCCTGGGGAGGGGCAGGAACCTGGTGGAGGGGGTAATGGAGGGGGGAGACATCTGTAATACTCTCAACAATAAAGATGAAAAAAAAAACAAAACAGACCAGCACTGTTATACTCTCAACAATAAAGATTGAAGAAAAAAAAAAAAAAGACCAGTATTGTTATTAACAAATCTTTGAACCTTGGTCTGCTGTCTTCAGTAGTGCTCCCCAAATTTTATTTCCTTGCTATCTACCTCCAATCATTTCCCCTTCTATAGTTTATTATATTTTCCAGAGGAATATAAACTCTCCACTGAGATTTCAGGGTGCTACCACGTTCCCTGGAAAGGGAGGAAACCAGCCCAACAGACCTGATCACCACTCACAGTTGAAGATCTTCATCCAAAGCCTGGCTGCTCCATTGGGCCTTGCTCTCCTGAACAGGCCACCTATCTTTCCACCTCAGAGTCGGAGGCTAAGCAGAAAGAAATTTAAAGCCAGACATGACTCTACTCATTGGTCCTGTAGGTAACTGCTTCTGTATGGGACTAGAAGGGCTGCTGAAAAGTCCCCTCCAAGGCCCACTTTCCCTCTCCTGATCAGCAACTTGGTCTGAAATCCAGAAGATGGGCACTATTTTCAGCAGACCCCGTATAAATCCCAAAATGCTTTGAAATAAGTGACGTTATATACCTAAGGGTAGGGGGTACTTAAAGATGTCCGAATGGGATGGGAAAAAGCCTGGGAAACTAACTTTGCTCTCTTCGCACCCTTGACCTCTAATTAGTGGTGAAACCTCAACTATCTTTCCCTATTGGTCAGAAACCTCAGTTGGTAGGTTAGCCAGAGCCAGGACTGACTACCAGGGATTTATAGGCAGGGTCATTACTTACCATGAACTCTGGAAACGTTCCCATGTAACATGCAAGGCCAACAAAAAGCATCCAGCCAAGCACAATCATGATAAAACAATTTGTAAGACACAATTGCACAGTGAAAGACTCTTCACCAAGATCTTGGCAAAGGAGTATGCTCATGAACCTATAAGTTGGTAAAGGTCTCGCATGTCAGTTCCAATCCTTGGCTCCAAGGGATCAGCAACTCCCTAGTGGAGGAGTTGGAGTTTAGTAGGGCATTGTGACATCACTGGTCACATGACTTACAGATTATGTCAGATCAGGTCATTCCTCTGTTCAAAACCCTCCAGTGGCTTCTTTCAGAGTAAGAACCTAACAAATAAAAAAGCGGCCCCTGACATTGGAACTGGTCTGACCCAGTTAGGTCTCAGTGTTGTTAGCTGACCTGGCACTCACAGCTAGGTAAGTGATTCTCCTGTGGGTACAACAATCTCCCAGAAAACAAACATCAGTTGGGTCATTCAGACCATGACAAACTGAGACAAAACAAGGTCACTTCATAATTTTGTCTAAGCAAAAATAAGGTCATGGTACAACCCACAAAATACCCAACATTCTCTTCTCTCTGTTAACACAAGTGACTGCTGCTTTTTCACCAATCACAGCTCTATCATCACTCTAGTTTGCCCATGTTATAGATATTTGAGATACCCAATCATAGAACTGCCTTTTCTGATAGCACCCAGTTCAAAGTGGAGCTTTGCTTCCTTAAACCCTCCCCCAAGTCACCCAAAGCCCAAATCCTATAGCACTCTTTCGGAGCTATCTCAGTGGTTCTCTACAGTATCTACTCCCTCCCTGCAAAAAGTAATCAACCCAACTTAAGTGTGGGTGTGTGCCTGCTGGTTTCTGGCTGAAGGGCATTGACAAGCCAGTCACAATTGTCTACAAAGCACCCATAGTGTTTCTCAGACTTTATCATACATTAGAATCACCCAGGCTTCTTACAACAGATTGCTCGACCCCACCCCCAGAATTTCTGATTTTGTATGTTTGAGGTGGGGGTCTCAGAATCTGTATTTTTAACAAGTTCCAGGTTATGCTGAGGCTATGAGTCTGGGGACCGCAATGGAAGAATCACTGCCTTAAACCTTCTGTAGCTCCCTCTTATTTCTCTGATTTAGCCTATTTCTGCTTCCTCACCTCTTACTTCATTCTACTCCAGCCATATTGGCCTTTTTATTTCAAGACTTCCCAGGCTCACGCCGGTCTTAGGACTTTGCTTTGAATACCCGCTATATGAAACGCTTACTGTTTCACCTTTCAAGGGGATCTACCCTGATCTCCTTACCCCGTCTTTTAAAAATTTATTTGCATAACACTTAATTACTTTTTAATATTCAGTCTAATTTACTTATTTATTATATTTATTGTTTTGCTCTCTTCCTACTAATAAAAGAATGACAGCTGATATTTTGTTCACTTTTGTATCATCAGACCTAGAAAAATATCCAGCTTATAGTCAATGCTCAACAAAAGTTTGTTGAAATGAATAAACGCTCCGCCCAACCTTTCACCTTCTTTTTTTTTTAATTCTCATCTGAGGACATTTTTCCATTTTTTGTTCAGAGTGGGAGGAAGAGAGAGAGAGAAACATCGACGTGAAAGGGACACATCGAGTGGTTGCCACCCGAACGACCCAACCAGGGCCAGGGACAAAACGGCAACCGAGGTACGTGCCCTTAGCGAACCGAACCCGGGTCTCTCTGGACCGCAGGCCGACGCTCTAACCGCTGAGCCAAGCCGGCCAGGGCTCACCTTATTCTTCTCATTGACTCCCAGCATTCCTGCCTTTAGGTCTTCCTATAAATACAGCCACCCTACTGCCAACCCAACCTCTTGACAGTGAAAATACCCAGCTCCTGCGAATTTTTAGGCCCAATGTCTCACGCCAGGAATACACAGCAGGTAACCCACAGGTCAAGATCAAGCAAAGCCAGCGTGCTGCCTTCTTCCTTCTCCAGACGACCTAATCCACCAACCTCCCTCCTCTCTTTTCCCACCTGCCGTCCCTCCCTCCCACCGACCTGGTTGTGGCACCCTCCCGTGGGGGGAAGCAGCCCCTCCCCGGGCGGCCTCGTCCTCACAGGGCTGTCCCAGCTCCCAGTTCTCCCACGACGCTCCTGCTGGCTCCGTTGTCCTTTTCTAGCTCGCTGCAATTTTGATTTTGAAGTTTCATTACCTCATTCTTCCGAGATTCAACTACAATATTCGATCTTGTTCTTTTTCGATACTCTTCTGAATTTAACACTTCCTTCCAAAAACTCTCTTCCAGAGCAGGGCGAGCTTCCCTTACCGCTTCTTTCTCCTCAGGTCCTCCTCTTCACACCTGTCCACAGGTTTCTTCCCAGCAAGCTGGATCGTCCTTCCCCCGGCGCTAACGCGCTTCTGAGAGCGTCTGGGTTCGCGCCGGAGCGACGGCCGGACTCCGCGGAGCCGCCGCGGGTGTGGGGCGTGGAACGCGGGTTGCCTTTCGAGTCGGGAGGGGCGGGGCCTTGTACCTCTAGGAGGTTTGGTCCTCGGCGGCCGCCGTCCAGGAGCCGGTGCGAGAGAAGGTCCAGGGACTGGGGCCGCGGAATCTGACTCTGGAACCTGGCTGGACATGGAGTTCGACTGCGAGGGTCTGAGACGGCTGCTTGGCAAGGTGCAGGCAGCCCTCCGGGCTGGGTCTGGGGCCCCGGGGGCTCGGGGGCGCTTCCACCCCTCTCTGGGTTACCTCCTAGCGGCGTGTGCCCCGCTCGTCACGGGGCTGGAGCGGAGGGGCGTTGGCCTGAAGTCGGCTGCGGGGAATGGCTCTGGCCCCACCCGCAACTCCGAGGTCCCCAACCTCCTGCGGTGTGAGACCGTCCTACGCCTCCAGCTTCTCTTGATCGCAGAGAGCTTCTAGCACTCGCCCGTCTCTTTAAACACTCCCTTTTCTCTCTGCCGAAAGAAAGGGCCTGTCCCATTTCTTTCATGACTTGCAATGCGCAGCCATTGTAAGACCCAACTCAGATGTCCCTCCTTGGAAAATAGAATCACCCCCTTCTCTCCACTTGCTTTCAGAAATACCGATGATCACATCGTGGAGTTATTATTTATTCACAAACCTTACTCGTGCTTCACCTAGCCCTGTGCCTGACAACAGCGGACGCTGAAAGACCTGAGTGACTTAGGAATGAAGACCCAAAGGAGATCCCCTTAATGTTGAAAGGTTGACTGGGAGGGCTGACCCACAAGTCTGACCTACATTTCTGGGGCATGACTAGCGCCAGGTTCCGGGTTAGCCCAGGCTCTCTGATTCCCCACCATTGGAGAGTCAGAGGCATCCCTCCTTTTCATTAGTTTTCTAGTTAAGTGGTTCTAATGATTCTTAAGACTTCCGCCATTCTAAAACCATCCGTTTATGCCGTTGTTGGGTTTACCTGTATCTTTCTTTGTTGGGGCAGTTTGCACAACTATGCAAGGTTTGTGTGTTTGTGTGTGGTACATGCCGTGCCCCGAGCGGGAACCAAACCTGGGACTCTCTGGTCCGCAGGCCAACGCTCAACCGCAGAGCCAAACTGGCCAGGGCTTTGCATTTTTGTTTTGTTTTGTTTTGTTTTGTTTTGTTTTGTTTTTAAAAAACTATGCAAGATTTTGAAGCCGTATAATTGAAATTGTGTGTAAGCGATTTGAATGATATTATCTACTCTGACAGGTGTAGATCTTTTAGGAAGAGAAGTATCATCATGCTTAGAGTTACACTCTATCTTCTTTTCAGACATGACCTTAAAAAATTTTTTTTTCTTTATTGATTTTAGAGAAGGGAAAAGGAGAGACACATAGAAACATTGATGAGAGAGAACATGATTGGTGGCCTCCTGCATGCCCCCCACTGGGGACTTGGCCCACAACCTGAGTATGTGCCCTGACAGAGAATCAAACGGGCGACCTCTTGGTGCATGGGTGAATGCTCAACCACTGAGCCACACCGGCAGGGCATCAGACATGAAATTTAAGAAACCACTCTTATCAAGTTTTGAGCTGGGGAAACATGTATTATTGTCCAGTGAGAAGAATTGTTAAAATTGATAGTAGAAAAAGAACTTAATAATTTTGGTAGAACTGGAATGAAGGAAAAGACAAAAGAGTGTGATTTATCTCAAGGGTGGGAGTAGACTCCTAGAGGAATTTTTTTTGTCATCAGTGCACAACATAAAGTCTGGCACATGAGTGCTTAATATTTGTTGGATGTGTAAATTAAGGAAACTAGTTAGAAACATCTCAGTCCTGCTAATATTTCTGAAGTTCCTTAACCCTCATATTAGGCAAATAATATAATTTAATATCTAGAAATAATTTTAGTGCTGAAAAATCTGTGAAGTGAACAGTATGTTAAAATCAAGCAACTGTATGGAACATGTGAAAATTTTTATTGGAAACAAATAAAATGTCTAAATATTTCAACCTAAATAAATATTCCAACTTCATGTATATAAAGAAGTCAGCTCTCTCCAAAACAATTTTTTTTTTTTAAGAGAGAGGATGGGAGAGAGAGAGAAAGAGAAAAACATCGACTTTGTTGTTCCACTTATTAATGCATTCTTTGGTTGCTTCTAGTATATTCTCTGACTAGAGATTGAACCTGCAACCTTGGCATATCCGGAGAACACTCTAACCAACAGAGCTTCCTGGCCATAGCTCCAAATTGATCTATAGAGTCAATGCAATTACAATTGAAATTCTAACAAGTTATTTTGGGAACTTTTCAAGCTGATTGTAAAATTTATTTGGAAAGGCATAAGGCCAAGAATAATCTTGATAGTCTTATAGAAGAGTAGGTGTAGGGACTTGACTCTACCAGATGTCAGGAATAGTAATTAAGATTTATTGTAGTATTGATATAAGATAGACAAATTAACCAGTGGAATAAGACAAGAAGGCTTAGAATCATATTTATACATGTTTGGAAATGTGGTATAAAACAGAAGAGGATGCCCTGGCTGGTTTGGCTTAGCAGTTAGAGCATCAGCCTGCAGACTGAAGGGTCATAGGTTTGATTCCAGTCAAGGGCACATGCCTGGGTTGTAGGTTTACTATCTAGAAATAATTTTAGTGCTGAAAATAATTTTAGCCCTAATTCGGGTTGTGTAGGAGGCGACCAATTGATGTGTCTCTCTCACATCGATGTTTCTCTCTCTCCCTCACTCCTTCCCT